CTTTCGAAAAGAAAAACAGACGCAAAACTTAACGAGTGCCTACCCGACAGTCTCACGAATACATAAAATAATTGTTTTGTCAGAAAAATAAAAGGCTGAAATTACAAGGAAGAGTTTCAAAGTTCGGAGGAATAATATCCGATCGGTATATATCGGCTTGAGCGTCGATGTCGACATCTCCCACACTCCGAAAAGTTTCGAATTGTTGCCCGAAGACAAGGGAAGACCAATCGGTATTCATTAATTTACGTCGCTTCTTCTTGTGTTTGTTCTGTGGGGTGTTCGTTATCCGATCATGTGTTCGTTGTCCGAACATAAAAATCTTTCGCAAAAGTGTTCGTTATCCGATTTGTTCGTTATGCAATCTGTTTGTTAACCGATCACCCACTGTATTTGGAATTATTATTTACATTTTTAACTGCAAAGTATCTCAATTAAATAATTATATATGGAGTAAAACATACAATTTTGTTTTCCAACCTAATTTTAATCCTTTTTTTTTTATTGATTCACATGATTTTAATTGAATTTATAAAATGACATAATCATATGTGAGATATTTAAGTATTATTCAAAATAATCATTTCTGTTCCAATTAAAAGAAATTTAAAATAATTATAACTTATATATCTATATGTAAAATGTAAATTTTCATTATTTTTAAGTGAGATATTAACTCATCACTCACACTATACAAACATCATTTGTCAGCTGAAAAAAAATCACTTATGTTAGCTGCAAAGAAATTTTCAAATAATTGTTTAAAATTAGACACTTACACACACACACACTGAATATTCTCAAAAAGTATTTCAAAATTTCATATTTAAATATTTGAAGATATTCAAAAATATTGCTTTTGTTTTCTTTTATTAATTTAGGCTTTTATCTTTTATCTGTTTACACTTTTATTTTTAAACTGTATTTAAAAATAAAAGAAAATAAGGAAAGCAAATACAAATCAAATATTTACTTGAATCAATAAACAGACGAGGAAAAGTGAAAGAAATGTGTTTATTATTTTGTGAAGGAAAATGATTATGCCGTATGTATTTCTCATAGTATTTGCTTGAATTAAATAACAACATTGCAAAAATCACTATAATTAACCATAAAAAATCTTTCAGTATAATACAGTGATGGCCACACCCAAGCCAAATTCAGCCCACAGAAAACATTAATAAGACTCATCACTTATAAATAATAGAAAACTGCCTACTTTACATATATAAGGAATATATAAAATAATTATGGCCTACCTACCTACAGCTTATGAGCAAATTGGCCTGCCAACCAAAAGATTAGGGCACCACTAGTCTAATAATCTCTTTCTTGTATACACATTAACTACATGACTAATCAATTTTATTTAAATATGTACGAATATGGAATAATCCTTAGATATGCTAAAGCCTAATAGAAACCTTCAAAGGCTTTCTATATTACAACTTAATTAAGTGAATTGATATAGCAATGGTATATGTATAGGCAACTCATTTTTCAAGCTCTACAGTAATTCTGTAATTTAATGCAAGTGAAATCAATTGAAAATTATTCAGATAGAAAATAATATTGTATTCAGTCTGGAAAAAATTAATTCAATATTATTTTTATACAAATTTTATTCTGTCTTCTTTTTACAGTTCATTTTATTTTATTCATTGCATTCAATGTTTGCTTAATATCTATATATTCTAATAGTCATAAGAAATAAAAACTTTCTTTCATTTATCTTTTATTCTCAGTTTCAGTGAAATTCATATTTTTATTCAATGAATACAAATGTAAAAAATTTTGAATCAATAAAACAGAGGATGAAAAAACAAAGTATTTTTTAAAAATAAAAGCAAGATAATCAGTTTTAATTTTTACTTGAATTTAATGTAATGTAATATAATAAAATATGTTTTGTTTTTGGCTTGAATTAGTTAGAATTTATTTCTAACATTAGATCCGAAGTTAATACCAAAACATTAAAATTATTTTAAAAAAAGCTTTGAAAAATAAAATGTTTGTTGTCAATTCAAGCATATTAAAGAAAGCAAATTGTGATTTTGCTAATATTTATAGTCACCTTTATTCAATTATTGATAAAACAACAAATTCTACATCTGTTTAATATATTTTACAATTCTACTATTTATCCAAAGAATGAATTTTGCTGAAACTGAAAATGATTTTTAAAAAAGGGAGATTACTTATCTTTATCAAAGTATAGACCAGGGGTGGCAAATCTGTGGCATGTAAGGAGAAACCATCTGGACGTAATGTATCATATGATTCTGGTATTTTTGAAACCGTGCCAGTAATTGTTTAGTAATTCGAACACAAATAATTTATTGTGTTCATTCAGACACTTGGCAACTTGGACACTTTGTGTTCAAATTACTAAGTATCATGTGATTTTGATATATCATCTGTCTTTTTCAATCATCCTTTTGGTCTATCACCTGATCATCCTTTTTCAATCAGCTTTTTTACTTTTATTCTAACTAAAGGATATTCATTTAATTTATTTAAATATGTTATTCAAAGTCTAAAACTTTGACATACCTAAGCATCTTTAATGCTAATATACTTACAACATGGCACATGGGCTTAAAAAGATTTACCACCCCAATTGCTGTATTATCTAACATAAGGAAATGTTTTACATCAGTTCTAACAAAAAGATTTTATCTTTGGCTTGAAAAATTAAATCTAGTGGCTAACACAAAATATGCTATACTCCTCCTACATTTAATAAACTTCAACTAATAAATAAACATAATAAAATGTATGCATGTTTTGTAGATATAGAAAAAGCATTCAGTTCCATATGTATTCCTATGTTATAAACAACTTTCTTAAAAAGGTTCTAGTTATAAATTTATAAATGTTCTCAAATCGTTTCTTGGAATGTAATCTTGCTATAACCAAAAATAAAACAATTTATCCAGAGATTAAACACTCAAGAGCTCTACTTCAAGGAGATCTCTCACCTCATTTAATTAATTTGGCATGCTAGATATAAATAATCTTCTTACTGGTGATAATGAGGGAATAACAGCCACCTCCTTCTCAGCAACTACAACTAATTATATCAACACACCTGAATTCTTTGCCAAGCATAAATTATTTTACTCCTCTAACGTTTTCAACCTACTGAATATAGACCATCTTCAGGCTTATGCTTAAACCATTCCAAAATGGAACACATCTATTTTTGAATACTTTCATTTTAAATTTAAAAGATTCACAATAATTGTGTATATTAAATTAATTAAAAAATAAATAAATAACAATAAAAATAACATAAATAAAAACGTAGTAAACAAGGCTAAGTGTAACTATTTACAAGCTTTAAAGGTTTTTAAGTCCCATGCTTTTTTCTTACATATACTTCCACGCTGTTGGAAGCACATTATCATCCTTGGCATTTAGGCAATGGATTTTTATTTTACTTTTATATATTTCCATTTTTTCCATCTCCAACGCAATGGATGGAGAGTGGACCATTTTAATGACTTTCGCCTCATCCCATTTTACAATCACTCCTTCTGTCTGCGCCATAATCACTAATATTGTGTTGTTGTGTCCTTTATCAACGTTGTAAGACGTACCGCCAGGTTTCTTCTGGTTATTAACAAATTCACATACAATAAGCATATAAGAGGAGTGATGAATGAATTGGTTACTTATAAAAACTCAAGAATAGTCTATAAAAGAGCACCCAATATCTATATCTTACTAAGGAACGATAAAAACAGAGTAAAAATGGAAGAGAAAGCTGGAGTTTATAAAATACCATTTGAAAATCAACAGTTAGGAATAGCAAAGGATTATGTGGGTATAACCAGAAGAAACCTGGCAATATGTCTGCAAGAGCACAAATACAACGTTGATAAAGGGCACAACAACACAATATTAGCGATTATGGCACAGACAGAAGGAGTGATTGTAAAATGGGATGAGGCGAAAGTCATTAAAATGGTCCACTCTCCATCCATTGCATTGGAGATGGAAAAGATGGAAATATATAAAAGTAAAATAAAAAACCATTGCCTAAATGCCAAGGATGATAATGTGCTTCCAACAGCGTGGAAGTATATGTAAGAAAAAAGCATGGGACTTAAAAACCTTTAAAGCTTGTAATAGTTACACTTAGCCTTGTTTACTACATTTTTATTTATGTTATTTTTATTGTTATTTATTTATTTTTTCATTAATTTAATATACACAATTATTGTGAATCTTTTAAATTTAAAATGAAAGTATTCAAAAATAGATGCATTCCATTTTGGAATGGTTTAACCATAAGCCTGAAGATGGTCTATATTCAGTAGGTTGAAAACGTTAGAGAAGTAAAATAATTTATGCTTGGCAAAGAATTCCAGTGTGTTGATATAATTAGAGGAAATAATAATCTACAAAAGGCTTATCATTTAATACAAAATGATGATGATTTAGTTGCCTTTGGCCTACAAAAATAGCACTTTAAAAAAAATTAAATTTATTAACCAAATATTTGAAGCAGATCCATCTAAATATTTTCAATTTATTAATATTAATTTTAATATTTTGAAATAATATTAAATTATCTAAATAAAAAATAAAGTTTTTATTGATGATAATTCTATTCGAATAGTAAATTAGATATATTTAAAAGTGAGAATTCCTTGGAATGGACTTGAAGTAAATAAATACTGGCTTTTTCCATTCCCGTTAAAATAACTAATTAAATTTTACTGTTGGGTTCTACAAAGTGAAGACAATAACTAGTAAACCATTTTAAAATCCAAAATCAAACCTGGAAGAGATAATCTGCAAAATCAAAACCATTTATACTTTTCCAGCAAAAGGGTTTAAGGAACAAATGTTTTCGATTTTACAAACTATTTTAAATCAAATGATCAAATTTTATAAACAAAAAACCCCTATATATTGATGAATGGAAAATTGGATCAAACTTTAAATTTGTTTGGAATTTCTAGATTGCTATTTGATAATTTCTCAGAACAAATTATTATAGTTATGCGTATACATACATTACTAATCAAATCCACTATACATTACTAATCAAATCCACTAAGTCTATGATGGTTTATATGTCCATATTTAATTGTAAATACAGTAGAATGTCAATTATCCAAATTAATCACAGCATGATACTTTCAGATAATCAATCACATTTAGGAGAGAAAGAATAAAAAGATAAAAACCTTAAATAAAGTAAAAGTATTAATTTAATTCTAGCATAATAGTAAAAAAAAAAATTAAGGTTTAGAAATTTAATACATACAAATGATTAGAAATAAAAAACTAATTTATTAAAAACAAGCCCTAATTTTTCATTGCAATCTACAATATACTGATAAAACTTTAAATTCAAAAAAATGTATATATATGTTACTGTGAAAGACCGAAATTAGAGAATGTTGATATTCTCTGGTGAATGTCGACACATACAAAATACGTCTGTGAAAGACCGAATATTTGGTTATATTATTATACATTTGAACAATCGTCGGTGTATGTCGACAAGCACAGATAAGCTTTGGTGGATGTCGAAACGATACCCGAGAAGACGATGTCAACAGACAGGCGACAGTCCATCGCCAAATTCTTCGCCGTTTCCTTCTGCTCAAATTGGTGATACCGTAAGAATACAAGTCCCCGATGTCGACTGTGGCCGTACAGATGCCTGAAATGTGTTGGCAGTTGTAGTTGGAATAGAAGACTCCAACTTTTATAAATTAGCAAACAAAAATGGTACCCTCAAGCAGCTTTATACCCATAATCAGTTTGTAATTTGTAAAGAAAAGTTACTTTCCATAGATGAGATTTCTTCTCAAGAAATATTGCTGAGAGAAGCAGCTGCAGCTAATTTGAAAAGTGGAGGCAAGAAGACTATACACACATGCTGTCATTGCAAAAAGAAGTGTTCCACAAATAAATGCAGTTGTAAAAGCAAGGGACTCTTGTGCAATTCAAAGTGCCATAACAGTTTAAGTTGTTGCAATAAATAAGATTATATACCGTTAATCACACAATATATATGTATGCAGTGGTGATATTCGAAATATTTAACAAAGGGTTCGCTAACAGAAACTTTTTCCTTAACAATTTGTTTTTGCTCAAATGGTGCATTAGCAACATTAGCGCAAAAACTGGCCTTAAGATACCCATATAAATAAAAAAGATGCGTTCGCAAAAATAAGTCAGTTAAAATTTAACATTTTTTATGCCAGAACTAATTTTTTTTTTTTTTGATAAATCATAATAGAGTGTTCAAAATGGTTTATTTTTTACATATTTTATTACGACATGTGTTCTGCAGCCATCTTGTATTTTCTTGCATGCGTGGGATTGTGGGATCTCTCTTATGCTGGGGTCGTATTCTGGTCACCGTCTCTGGTCTCTTGTCTCTCACAAGCTGGTCGCTGATTGGCTAATCATTTGGATTAGCCAATCAGCGACCGTCTTGTGAGAAACAAGAGATCAGAGACGGTGACCAGAATATGGCCCCTGGATCTAGTTTCAAGAACTCTCTTGAGTCGACTGCGAGTGAATGTTTCAGTCGAGATTGAAACGGTCGAGGGAGGTCGCATCAAGGCGAACGGGGTATAGGGCTCTAGTTTAGTAGTGTTACAGAGTATAATACGTCTATTTTAACATATTTTTTAAAAGAAACAAAACCACTGAGAAATGTTATGTGTGTTTAACAAGGTTCGGAAAACTTTGAAAATGTTAACAATGGGTTCAGCCGAACCTGTGCAAACCCGCTGAATATCACCACCGTGTGTATGTGTAATTTTGTGTATTATTTTTATTTTCTGATTAAGAATGTACTGTTCGTTTTAGGTTCAACAGTTTATTTACATGTGCTGTTACTTAAGTTTTCTCCTATTTTCACATTAACAAGTTGCATTTTTGTCTTAACGTAATAAAAATATTTTTATTCAACATTCACCATCAGTGCATGCTGAATGTTGAAATTTGCCAATGTAAGTAAGAAATAATGATATTTAGCAAATATTTCTTACTTACACCGGCTGACATTCACCGGAGAATCTCGACATTTGCCAAATATCAGTCATTCACAGTAACATATATATACATATATATATATTAATAAAATTAATAACAAGATAGCTCAATGATGGATCCAGAGATCAACAGTATGAAAAAATTTCATATTTTCTGAAATTAATACTCTCTGAAATTGATTTTCATTAATTGTTTTTCAGATAAATCGATGCTCTACTGTATTGTTATAAAATAAATTTAAATAATTATGTAAATACAAATATTGAAAATCATTAAAATCTCAATACTATGATATATTATTATAGCTAAAAATCAGATTAAAAAAACTACCCATATAAAATATGTTCATACTAATGAATAGATGTCATAACTAACATTAATCAAACAAATTATTCTTTCATATCAAGCATATTATTAACATGAAATAATTTAGCAAATATTGTTTTTTTGCTAATTATTTCATGTCAATGAATATATAGTAACTCCAAAAGTACATTTAATGAATTTTTATAATAATAATAATGATAAAATCAATTTTGTAGTTTTACACAAAAATTATTTCATTTTTTAATTGCAATATAAGTTAAATTTTCATGCAATAACACAGATATTACTAAAAATACATATGCATATCATTTTTTGTGAAATACATAATTTTTGTGAGTTATATTCTACTCATACACAAAATTAACTATTAAGAAGTTTTTAACAGATAAATTAATAAATAAATTTAATTTTTTTCATCGATCTAAATAGAATTAAATGAAATGACTGATACTTACGTGTCATCGACAAAAGCTAGACCAAAATATTCTTTTTCTTTGATTGAAAAATGGGAAGCGACCATATCTAACAAATCTCCTGCATAGAGTTTAGGCTAAAAAAGTGATTTATAAAAAATAAAATGAAATAAACTTAAAATTATAACTTAAATTTTAAAATATTATATTTGTCTTATGAATCTTTTGTATATTTTTATTTTCAAATTATTACATAATCTTACACTTTAATCACTTTGCTTGTTTAATACTATATGAATTTGAAAAATAGCTCCAGAAGAAAACTTCTACAGCTTTATATTGTTTTATTGGAAAGGAAAAAATTATAAAATTATATACTGTATATATAAATACAGTTGACCCCCCTATAACACTGTTGATTATTCCGTTTTGTATGAATTCCATGTTGTACGAGTCACTTAGATTTTACAAATGCGTGTGCCAGGCTGTAAACAGCTCACATATTTGGACCGTTTATTTTGAAAGTGGTGTAAGTCCATTTTTGGAAAAAATTGAGAAAGCACATAATATGCATACAATTTAGTGTGAACTTTTTATTTATAAACAATTCACACTTAAAATTATGGTTAAAATAACCATAAGCTTTGATCAATTGAAAATGTATCGGTAAATGACATTGCATAACCATTGATTTTGAAAGTGGTGTAAGTCCATTTTCTACAGTGTAAGCATTTGGGCTGTCCATAAATTACATGCGCATTTTTCTTGAAATTTTTACTTTCCCCTCTTGTTCCAGTTTGTCCAAGTTTTTGTAACCCCTTTCCCTCTTTGGATGTCCAACANTGAAAGTGGTGTAAGTCCATTTTCTACAGTGTAAGCATTTGGGCTGTCCATAAATTACATGCGCATTTTTCTTGAAATTTTTACTTTCCCCTCTTGTTCCAGTTTGTCCAAGTTTTTGTAACCCCTTTCCCTCTTTGGATGTCCAACATAACTCTATCCCTGTTAAAACCTTCATCACTTTATGAATGATAGATACCATAAGTAGAAGTGAAGCATACAAGAAACTTTGAAATAAATATAATAAAATGCATACTGTATAAAATTTAATGAAATAAATGGATGTCCACTAATACTCAACCCCCCCTTGTCCGACTTATCTTAACCCACTCCCTCCCTTTCAGTGTGGACATCATTTAAAGACAGCCCCTTACAACAGAGGAGTAAAACTATAAATATACAACAAATGTACAATTTGATGGAATGGAAAAAAATCCATGTAATGAATCTAAATGAAAAGCAGTGTCTAATGGTAAGCTCATAATAATGATAAATTTATCATAAAATAGTTTAACAATAAGTAAATATTTTTAATGTTCAGAATAAACAATACTATTTTATTTCTTGTTATTATATATGAACAAAATCAGAATAAAACGCAATGTGTTTCAAGTGACATTGAGTTTTACATAATAGAAATTTAATGAATTTTACAGTTTAGTAATTATGAAAGTGGTGTAAGTCCATTTATGGCCCAGAAAGAATATATTAGTTTGGATAAATTCACATAGAAGTCTTTATGCAATCAACTTACATATTTCTAAAGTCATAGAAACATTGTCAAACTTAGTACACTTTGTTTATATTTTTGAATCAACTAAAATGCAAATGTTTAAATATCTCGAAAGAAGAAAAAATGGACTTACACCACTTTCAAAATAAACGGTCC